TGGCCCGGTACAGGTTTTATGTCTTCAGGCCCGGCCTGGCGCGAATTTTTTCAAAAAAAATTTCAACCTAGATTTCTTTAAAAAAAATTTCGGTTAGGGTATGTAAATTTTTTCTACGGCCTTGGTCTTAAAAAATTAATAATATATCTATTCGGCTTCTTACTGATCATTTTTCAGCGAATATGAAATCCATATATAATAACTTCAAATTATCTAATGGTCCATAGTAATTCTTTTCTGCTCCTCTTGTAATTTAACATAGCCCTTTGAGAGATAAAATGATACTTATCATATATTTTTAATATCGAGTGTATCTTTGTTCCTTTTAATTTGATTGAATATCACCTGAAATAATGATTAGTCAATAATAAATTAAATAATATTTTCTAAGGATCGAAAAAATGGAAATAGGAAATATAAGTGAATGATTGTAATATATTGTTCCACGATACCCAATTTTTGTTTTTTATTTTTATAAATAATGGCGATTTAAAATATACGGCCCAGCCTGGTTATGGAAAAAATTTTTTTAGGTCCGGCGCGGGTATTTTTTAAAAAGGCCCAGTCCGGGTATATTTTAAAAAAATGGCCCGGCCAGGCTTAGGGCCGGGCCTCCATGTCTCTGATTTATATAAAACAAAGCTGGTAAAAAAAGGTTTTAAATATACAAAATGTAATTTAAATAAAAATATGTTTTTTTGTCAATTTATAAAATAATTTTACTCTGGTTTAAAATATATTAAAAAATGAACTGCAGTTGGTAAATTACCAATAATCGTCAAATATAATTCTTATACAATACAACTTCCTAATATTTCCCATAGTGAACTTTTATCAGTTTTTTTTAATTTCTACGGTCGAACTGGAATATCGAGTCGTCATGTCGACCCAGATCGAACTGACGGATTTGTTTCGAAAGAGACCGGATTAGACCGAACTGTCAGTCCGGCCGGACCTTTGACTAACACTACTATTCTTCAATGTTAAATAAAAATGTACAAAAAATAGATTTATCAATAAAAATAAAAAAGGTTGAGAGCCTAGTGTTATTCAAATTATTTAATCAGCACTTATTCGAAATTAATGTTTTTACTCAAACATTTACTGATTAAATTTACCAGTATATTTTAAGAATTATTAATGACTAATTTAACTTGATATAGAATTGATAAAAATTGAAATTATTCTTGGGAAAAATTTTCTGATTTATTTGTATTAGTTTTGTTTTTTGTTTAAAATTCTCACTTCAATCATAAATTATTTTTTTATAACATGATAGATGATAGAAAGTGAAAACTATCACCCCTCCCCCCCCCCCCCCCGATACAAAAATATAACTAAGAAAAATCTTAAAGATCCTCAATTTTATTTATTTTTAACAAATATTTTTAAAAATTTCATAATTTAAATCCTTTCGAAAAGTTTAGACTTAAATTTTCATAATTTCTTTTTAAAAATTTTCTAAAAATATGGATATTATTTATTGAAATTCTATTTGTTTTTCAATTTTTGTGAAATATGGGAATGCATTCTATTATTTTATTATAGAAAGGTAAAATTTAGGAAATTAATATGGCCTTTCTCTCGCCTTCTTAGTCTTCCACCTTTGTTGTTTCAGCGAATGGGGCATATCAAGTCTACAAAATTTCAAAAATAAATGCTGGACCATCCATCATTTTAAAATTTTATAATCTTTTTGACTTTTCAAGAATCTTATTGAGTTTCCAAGGAACTTTTTAAGTAGGGTTGTGCCGATCCACAAATTTCTCACTCATCTGGATTCTATATTTTCCGACATTACTAAAAAACCTATCCGATACCGATCTGATATTTATATTGATTTTTATATTTACCATATTAATAAAAAACCTATCCTATACCGATCTGATATTCATATTGATTTTTATATTTATCATTTGTATCAATGTCATAAATATATCAATATTTAAAAAAAAAACAACTAACTTTCACGAATGATTAAGTGTATTTTATTTTATTTATTTTTCATAAGTTAATATTCTCATTCAATATTTGCAATGTTTATGGGCGAATGTAGTGTTGTTTAACAACCCTTTTTAAAAATTGACTAGGGCAAAATCAAAATTTTAACCAAAATATTATTGTCTATACCTCGAAATTCCGCTAACAGATATCCAATCCTTTCTGATATCTGTGGGAAAATCAATACATGGGTAATGTACTCTTGGCTAAAATTTTTAGTTAATTATTTTTAAAATTGGCTAAATCGACCCGTTTAGCAACACTAACTGAATGTGACATGTTAGATGTTTTAAAATCCTTTTCTTTTTGCAGATAATATAAAAAAAATAGTGTAAAATTTTAAACTATTTTTTTACAAATAAATTGTATATTAGTTCTTTTTATTAATTTACTAGCTAATAACCCGTCAAGAATGACGGGGTTGAGGGGTAATTAGTTAGTTTGTATATATGGTACTAAATAGGCTTTATAGTAAAATTTAGTAGAAAAAGAGATAAAATTGTTGCAATGTAACCCGTGAGCATTAAGGGTATTAGAAATATCAAAATTTAAATTTGTGATAGGAATCATATTGGGTAAAATTTAAAATAGAGATGCTTCTAAATTTTTACATTTTAAATATGGGCTAGACATTGGTCTCAAAATTTTGTTTTGCAGACACAGCAGGCCTGATCAAAAAACCATGTCCCATGCAACTTTCCCAATATTTTGCCATTTATTTCTATATTGTAATTTAATAATAATGTTTTAAATTTAATTTTATATTTAGAATAAATTTGTGATAGAAATCATATTGAATAAAATTTAAAATAGAGATGCTTGGGAATTTTTTAATTTTAAATATGGGGTAGACATTGACCGAAATTTTTTTTTGCAGACATAGCCAGGTCTGATTAAAAAACCAAGTCCCATGCAACTTTCATAAATTTTGCTATTTATTTCTATTGTAATTTAATAACAATGTCTTAAATTTAATTTTTTATTCCATTTATTTCTATTGTAATTTTATAATATCTTAAATTTAATTTGTATATTTAGAATAAAATTTAAATCTGTGATAGAAATCATATTGGATAAAATATAAAATAGATATGCTTGAAAATTTTTTAATTTTACATATGGACCAGACATTGGCCTGAAATTTTTTTTCTCAAACCTCGCCAACCCATAATAATTTTGTAATTTTTTCCCAAGCCTGGAGATAGGTAAATCTCTGAAAACCATATAGTTGGGAAAATTTTCTCAAGCCCGCCAAAGATCATAATAATTCTGTTAGTTGAGAATTGAAATAAAATATATAAAAGTCATAATTCAATTAAAAATAAAACCAATGAAAGTTGCATTGGCTTGGTTTTTTAATCAGGCCTGGTGATTTCTGCAAAAGAAAATTTTCACTCTAAGGTCTAGCCCATATATAAAATTAAAAAAATTTCAAGCATTTCTATTTTATATTTTACACAATATGATTTCTATCGTAAATCTAAATTTTATTTCTAAATATAAAATTAAATATGAGACATGTTAAGGATGTTGAAGCAATATTACATTGATCTTGATTTTCAGTACTACTACACTTTGATATTGATGCAATAAGACTTTGCTCTTGTCTTTTCTTGCTCCGACAAAGTTCCTGTCTCCGTCTCGCTTTCTACTTATGCTGATATATTATTAAAATTTAAAAATATATACCTATTAAATAGTTTGAATTTTAACTTATATTCACTTAATCAGTTATGTCTAAATTTGAGACAAAAATTTACTATTAAGGATCTTGAAACAATAATACATTGCTCTTGATTTTCAGTACTACATTGATTGTTGATTTTCAGTATCTTTTTGTTGAATGGCAGGAATCTATAAATATAATATAATGTATCAGTTATGTCTAAATGAAACAAAAATTTCCTGTTAAGGATCTTGAAACAATAATACATTGCTTTTGATTTCTAGTACAATTTGATTGTTGAATTTTCAGTATCTTTTTATTGAATGGTATCTTGTGCAGGAATCTAAAAATATAATAAAATAGTAATTAAATCAAAAAAATTTTTCAGTTAGTTGGTAATGGAAGATGGATGAATGTTTAATATGATTCTGTGGTAATTTTTTAAAAAAATGTAAAAATTAAAATATCAGAATATCTATAATAGTTTGAATTTTAAACTAGTTACAAACTTTGAATCGTAACTTCCATTTGATTAATTTTGTCAGATTAAGAAAAAAAATCATTTTGCCAGATTATGGAAAAAAACCTTTGCCGGGATTCGAACCTAAGTCCAATAATCCAGATTTGTTCGTTCATGCCGATTGGGCCACAGGCACTTTTCAAAATTAACGATTTTTTAAATATATATTATAGATTGAAAGTGTGACAGTGTCAGCGTAACGGTATTTTTGTGACAAGGCTTTTATATATATTATAGATTATTATGAAATGAAAAAAATAATATGATTTTATATACATTATAAAATAACCAATTAAAAAATATCGGATCGGTTTTTTCATCGGCCCATCCGATATTTTAAAACGCTAAAAATCAGTGCCGATCTGATATTAGTATAGGCATAGCTCTACTTTTAACAATTTTTTTAAAAAAAGATCGTTTATTTGGGTTTTCACTGATTTGTGAAATCGGTAGGATACTATTTCTTACTTATAAATCTGATTTTATTATCGACATTTAAATTATTGGATTATAAAATTATAAATTTTTTTATAATAAAGAAAGAGGTGGAAAATCTTGTGTCTCCGCTGTTCCTCTAATTAAAATTTATTCAGTTTACATATAAAAAGAAAGCAAAACCCATCTAAATTTTTGTCATCGATCGTTTTTGATTTAAAGGAAGTATAAAGAAAAAATTAAACGATTTTAACATTAATTTAATTAGTATTATTGCTAGCATTGTATGCTAGATATAGATAAGTTAATTTAAATTTGTGATTATATTATAATTTATTTATTTACTCGTTGGTTATTAATGCATTTCTTATATTATAGATTAAGATCCGTTATTTTTTTTACTCTTATCTACCTGCGATGTACGTATAATTCGCGAATGAATATGAAGAGGCACCTATGATAAAAAATTTGAATTCGCTTTAAATCCACCAAAACCTGAAGCTGATCTCGAAAACGGCCTATTTTTAATGGAATCTATCGATAATAAATCCAAGGATTACAAGATAGACGATGTAGTCAATAAAAAATTTCCATACATTATTAATACGTATCCCAACATACCCAACTCTAACGAGTACTACATCGATTACACGTCGTATGACACAAACAGAGATGAGGACAATAAAACGAACCCTTACAAATTTTCTAAATGTCATCAATTAGCAGACCCGTTAATATCGACCTGTGTTAATTTGGGTGTTTTTCCCCACACTACTTCGTTGCCTCAAAAGTTATGTAATTCTAGCATGCCCCTTTTTAAAAACATCGAAGTTCAGTCAAAATCGAATCAACAGCTTTCCGAGCATATCTCTCTTAAGGACAGCAACGCGAGCTTATTACAGCCTAATAATCGATTTAATGATAATAATTATAACGATAGAATTACTAGGAAGAATATTGTTTACGAAAACGAGGATAACATAAAACTCAATAAAAACGTACTATGGCCCACGGGAAATAATTGGGGTTTTAATGAAATCGATAAATATATTGAAAATAATAAAGAGATCATAAGTGTGTATTCGACGAACCAGGCTGATAATGAATCCTCCCCAAATCACAACATTAGAATCTCACCGAAAACCACCGCCATATGCAAAATAAAATCCTGCAGCAATATCACGGAGAACCATTCATTCGACAGGGACGCGAATAGAGATAACTCCCTAATTTTAACCACTACATCTGCTCACGCAAAAAACATTTCTCCTACTCATTATTGCCATCATCAAAGTAGTCATTCTGTTCCCGCGTTCGCTGGCGAGAAGCAAGATCCGTATTTCGCATACGGAGATAACCACGGATTCTTTAAAACGATCCCAAACAACGCGCAAAGCCCGTCTCGTTTATATCCCACCTATGACAATGAAAAGACACCCACGAATATTTTAATCGATAAAAACATGAAACGTTTCAATTACGATGAGGGTTCTTCTTACTACGCTAATAGACTTTTAGCGGATAATATAAAATTTTTCGATAAAATATTATACAAAGACAAATTTTATTCTAATTTAATTCCCGATATACACAACTCTCCGGTAAAGTACAAAAAATATATATGCACAAATTCACCCATATCAAGAAACAAAGATGACACCTTAACCGATACAGAGGTTCTGTTAAAAGGATCTTCCGATCAAACTAATGACTTTCTCAATGTATACACCTACCCAAACACTACACAAAATTTCCTTTCGACCCATGCCGTTTTGACCCAATCATCGTCTTGTCGATCCAATTCACCTGCTAAAATGTCGACGAACGAGGATAAAAAATCTACCGGTTGCGTCTCATTCTCATCGGTCGGCTCCTCATTCAGCCCCAAATTATCTTTCATGAGGAATAAGCTATCACGTCTTTCCCTCAAAGACCGTAATGCATTAAACACCTCCGCGATTCTTAAAAGTGATACATGCCAGGAGCACAAGTTCAAATACCGAAACGTCAAAAAAAATTCATGTACCATATTGATAAACGATGTCCCTTTAAATGGTTTGTAGATAAAATAAAATACTTCTATTATTCAATTTTTTTATCACATCTAAAAACCTTATAAATAATTTTATGGATCTTAAATTATAATATCCTTTTATATTATAAAATTAAGGATGCACTTTTTAATATCAATTGGCTCGAATCGTTCCTTTTTTTTAAAATATCGAAATTGGTCGATATTTTTTAATAGCTATCGACGTTATTCAATAAAGTAACGGCTTTGGATTTTACATTACTCTGCAAAAATAGTAATGCAAGGTTACTTTAATTTTTCCTAAAGTACCGACAGTTACCATGTAATAAAGATTGAATAAATTATTTTCTTTATATACATATATATAATATATTTATTACACAAATCCCAAAATTCGAATGAATAAATAATTGGATAGATTTTTTAATATTAAGCTATAAATATACTGATAATTTTTTTTAAAACAATTTTAATGATTGTTTTTAAAAGCTTTTATATCATTTATCGCTCAGCATCGCTTTTGCTCTACTAAACACCTGATCATTAGGTGCTGAGGATGGCAGGGGTATATTATATTTTTAAATTGGTTTTAATATTTGGTTAAGATTTTTTTTCTAAAGATGTATCTTTTTTTCTTGATGAATTTAGATAGTTCATCAGACATATCATCGAAAAACACTTTTTCCTTTATATTGAGAATGAGGCGTGGCACTAATTTCCTCTATATGAATATCTTTCCTCAAACTATATCGTTTATCCATTTGGCCTTTAATGTAATGATGAAGATATTCACATATTATCTTTAACACTGCTCTAATATAATTGAAGACATCTAATAAACCAATAAAAATAATAACTGAAAGAAGAAAATGAAATGAAATACCCTTATAATTTGTTTTAAAAACTAGGTTCTATATTTATTTTTGTAAAAATTAACACGTTACTTTAGTACGTTACTTTTTGGAATAGTAACACCGTTACCGATTATCGGAAAAAGTAACGCCATTAATAGCAACGACACTTAAGTAACGCGTTTCTATATAGCACTAATAAACGATATGAATTATCACAATAGGTAAATTATTGTAAAATTAATTATCTTTATCAGTGCAAAAAAATGTTTTAATTATAATTTTACCATCATTGCAAACTGTTATAAAATTGATTAAATATAAATGAATGGATAAAGAGTAGCCATTCCATGTCGAATGAGCAAGGAAATTATGATTTCTGGTCGTTTTTAATATTTTTCTTCCTTATCGTTTATTATTTTTTTAATAATTTCTTCAATGATTAGCGCGGCTTTATTTCCATAAAAATTCTTATTATTATTATTTGCTTCATTTATTTAAACATTATTTAGTACGTTGTCTTATATAAAAATAAAGAAATATAGCTAATTAGCTAATGTCATAGTCAGGGGGAGGCGTTTTATTTGCCTGTTTTCATAAATAAAATTATGCTCTAATAAAAAATCCTCCCCTCACCCTTCCGCATTCCCCTCTCCCCCAAAAAGGTATACAATATGCCTCTAAACAAAAATTTAAAAGAAAAATAAATAAAAGTTAATATTTTATTTTAAAATAATGACTATAATTCAAAAATTTCATCAAAGAAAACATTTTAATAAAGAAAAGGTGAAAACCAAAATGATCATTTTAATGTAACCCTACCAATATTAAGTGAGCCTAAAGTCTTCCAATAAAATTTACGGGAAAAACCACCTAAAAATGCTCCCTCCCCGTTGCAAGACTATGTCTATGGCTGATGTGGTTTATTGATAATATTAATATCAACTTGATTATCGGATAAGCCTTTAAAAAATTATCAGTACAATTTAAAATGTCAATTAAAAAAATATAGCAAGTTATAAAAATGATCGGAATAAAGATTTTTCGTCAAACAACGCATGCCCTATTACCTCTTCCCCGTCCTCGGATTCGATTTTATTCGTATCGTCCCCCTCATCATCTTCCTCGTCCGTGTCAACACACCAACGCAAATTTTCGAACCATAAATTTAGCACGCTTATTCCATATTCCAAATTTTTGTTTCCGTTTCGCTCAAGCGCCAAGCGTAAAAATGGAATACAAACTGATAAATCCATCAACGAATCTATGGAGAGAGACGCGATAAATAAAAATGACGCTTACGATACCAACAGGCGTAGGTCTTGTTCTGCTGAAAACATAAATTTTCAAGTTGACCATGATTCAAATAAATCGCCGATAATTTTACCAGAATCCTTAACTAATCTTTGCCCATCTTCTGGACCTTTATTATCGGAGTCTTATCATTCAGGCGAAAATCTCGATTTTCCAGCAGTTAAACGACGAATCAATAAAGATTCAAAAACTAATACCATAGATTCCGATGCTCAACCGGTTTCCAAGTATACTTCATTGACTTCGGGCAGCAACAACTCGGATAGCAATGTATCTTTATCTCGAAACCTATTAAACAGTCATAAAAAATTATCGATGTGTACACAGAAATCATACGATATACTATCGAGTAAAAATATTCATAAACCCATTTCCCATTCTTCATCTTGCGAAAGGTCCCTCAATTTCAAAAAGAAAAACTCTATTCTTAAAATTGGCCACTTCGATAAAAGTTATTTCGAACACCTTGATGCCCAAAGCGTGGTGGCAATATACATTTTATACATCAAATCTCTTCGATTTTTGGCCAACAACAAAGATGGCAAAAACTTTGCGGGATCCTCCACCAATCGATTAACTTCCCTGCAAAATAATTTCATGAAAGGCAACGTGCGTCCATTTCGCACCAAGGACAAGACAGAATCAGCGGGCGACCCATCCTGCAATTCCAATAATAATTGCCTTAACTATAGGAAGTGGTGCTCAACTTCCAACAATCATCAAGATATGTTTACTCGTAAAACTGTATTCACGGGAGCCTCAGCCGCTCTAGCTGCCACTACCTTCTTACTCAAACACCAAAGCCCCTGCAATGACCGCACCAGTGATAACCTTATAAACACCGACGATCGAAATTCTATGTCAAACGAATCGAGCCAAGATTCGCTCGATTATAAGGCGAGGAATAAAATATTTTTCACAGATAGGAAACTGTCTGGGACTTTAGATATCGGGGACGGAAGAGGAAATGAGCTCGTCGAAAATTGCGCCTATTTTCGCAATGAAATTGGTGGCGAATCCTTTGAATGCCTAGACTTGGTCAGTTTCCGGTACCTCAGTAAAAAATACCTTTCTCAATCGAAGGATAGAACTCTCACCCGCGATAAAACTGAGTCAGATAATTGTGGCGATTCGAGGGTATATCAAAATTATTGTGGTAGTGGCAATCGACATCATCGCGTAGAGAATTTTTGTCATTATTATGATACCATCTCATCCCATTCTTCACTGTCCTCATCTTCCATTTCATCCCGATTCTCTGCATCTCAAATTAAAGCGACGCCCCGCACATCAATACTTTTATCTCCTTTGACTAGGCAACCAATTTGCAATGGTATTTCCGTGTTAGATTTTAGGAAGCACGCCCCGCAATTATGCGACAAAATCGTGATAGATATTGTATCCACCGGAATGGGTAATAATCAAATTATGGGAAACATGACAGCTCTCAATATCAAAAACAAAAGCATGATGGGCTTTAACGAAATACATAGTAAATCCGGTTACATAATTGAAAATTGGGACTCTGGCGCTTATTTTTACCGTATCTATTTTTTAGGAAGAGGTAATTATTTCATTTATTTTAATTTTTTAAATTAGCTAACTATATAATCATTATTAGAAAAAAATATTTAAAAGCAGGTCGAACCAGACCGAACTACGAAACCGAAATGAACCGTTATAAATTTTTGAACTATAACCTAACCGTTATAAGAAATTCTCAGAACCGAACATTATAAATACCTACAATCCAGTTTAAACCGGTTCATAACGGTTTTTAGAAATTTATTTTTTAAATAAATAAATTTTCAATATATTTAATTAATTTGGTCAAATTCATTTTCTAAAAAAATAGTATATTTTATACATACATTAAATTTTAATTAATTTGTTATTTCTTATTCACATCATATTCGAAGGGGTTTAGCAAATTCATTAGACCCGAGTTTCTAGAGGATTTAAAACTGAAATCATTTCTAGCCTGTCATTTTATCTTTTAAACCTGATTGTAAACTGATTCATATTCCAAGTGCATAAAATGCCTAATCCCTAAGATCACACAATTTTCCTATGAAATTTTATATATTTTTTTTTAATATATAGAAAATATTAGGGGTGTACCGATATCACTTTTTGGAGGCCGATCCGATATTCTCGATATTAAATTGATATCGGCCGATTACCGATCCGATTTCATATCTAATTTTGTATTCTGTAAAGATACCAATGGTTTTAATTTTTAATAGACTTTTTATTAGTATAACATCTATAATTTAACTCTACCCTAATATATGTCATTTGAATATATTATAATGATCAAGTTATATTTTATATTCAATTTAATTGCAATTCTAAAAGTATATAAAATTGTTAAATCACTTTTATATAACATTTATCTATATACATAATAAGTAGTAAACAAATATGAAATTTGAAATAAATAATTAAAATAATATTTAACATTAATATATCGAAGATTTTAGAAATATCAAAATTTCAAATTTATCAGAGGTCAGCCTGCAGCGAAGGTAACTGTCAATATCACCAGCTTCACTAAAAAGAAATTCTGAAGAGATTATCGCACACTTTTATAAACAGAATGCGCAAAAAAATAACAATATGGCAGAATGTTTATAAATTAATTATTATTATAAATAATATAAATAAAAATGGATTTCGAATTTATTTATAAAAATAAATGATTTTAAATATAACTTTTAAAATTTTTTTTACAACATTATTTTTTTAAAGACGCCATTTTATATCGGATCGGAAAATTTTATAATGATGGCTGATAACCGATATTTTAAAATGGGTGAAATATCGGCCCGATCCGATATAAAATATCGGTACATCCCTAGAAAATATATTTATAAAAATTAATATAAATTAATGGTAGTTCAAAAATTTACTGTAAAATTGTCTGATATTCACAGGGTAGGTACTCTATACTAGAGGTCTGCAATGGGTAGGTTTTAGCTCCCCTTGCCCACGCCCGCCCATACTTCGGGCGGGCGTAGTCGGGGTTTCCTAAATATTTGCAACATTGGGCGGGTGGCTAGCGGGTTAAATAATTTTTTAAAGTAATGAGCGGGCGTGGGTAGGTGAATTTAAATAATTTTTAGGCGAAATGAGTAGAACAGACTTCAATTTATTAAAAATGAGAGTTTTATTTCATCATATTGCATATTATATATGTTTAATTAAAAATACATTAAAATAAATAAATAAAGAGCGAAACCAGCTATTAGAATGTTTAAACATTTAGCAGGCGGGCGAGTAATTTTTTTTTAAAAAATTATAAGTTAGCGGGCGGGCGTTAAAAAAAATCAAAACAATGCTCACCTCTACTCTATACTTGCTGGAATACGAATCCGACAAAATTGAGTTCTTTTATAATTAAAATATCCACGCTATAAATGATTTAAATTTAAAGATTTGCATAACCCCTACAACATAACATATATAATTATATAGTTAGAAATTAACTTATTTTCTTTAATATTAATGGAAAATTTAATGTTGGACAATAAAAAGTACATGTATGAAATTTTTTTTAAAATGAATATTCAAATTAATAATAAATGGCGGAAACATTATTAATCTTATTCAAAAAATCGAATATTTGGTTCAAGTTTTAATAAAGTTACTCAATTTCTATAAATATCACTGATGACTTTACATGTTTAAGAGATTATATTTTTTTTAGTTTTTTAAATTCTCTTCAGATGCATCATTTATTTTGTCGTATGTTGATTGATTTCAATTCCATGAATCTTAACATTTACAATATTTTTGGTTAACTTTTTTTTATTTTCTTTAAAATTTTGATCCCACGAGAAAAACAGATTTGCCTCTGCAATACATATCGAATATCTTTTTATAAAAATCATATTTAATTTATTAGAACATTCCAATTATTTCGGAATTGATGAAAATTTCGGCCCAATCGCAGTTAGTTTAGTTCGAAATAGTGTACCTGCCCAAGCTATTAACCCAGACTCTAATCACATTAATTCCGAAATGTTTAATTACTATATCATCATGAGAACAAATCAAGTTTATTTTTATTTTTTATATTAATATATCTCTCTTATATAATAGAGCTTTCTTACTCTTCGTGTTGTAAAAATTATGCTTTCCTATAGGAACTTTATCTAAAGTGGGTTAGGATTATATGCTGTTATATTAATTTTTCAATTTTTAGAATTATTATAAATTTCCAATTTTTAAAAAACACCTTTTTTAAAAACATTAAATTAAAAGGAAAAATAAAAAAGGTAATTCAAAAAAAAATATATTAAAAATGACATGTATGATCTTTATTTTATGGGTAAATCTGTGCGCCGATTTTTTTATTCAGCTGAGATGGCGCGTTTGCATATACCGACGGCGCAATAAAAATGGACGTGCCGATAAAACATACATGATAAACTGTGTGAATTTGTTTGTATATTATTTCCAATAAAATTAACCCTAAGAATCAAAATATAAATACATCCCCAAACAAAATATGAATATAAATTTTCACAAATCTATAACAGGAGATAAAGAATTGAATCATCAACTTAAGGAATGCATAACAACATGAGTGAAAATTGCACATTATTTATAAAAAGGGATACCATAATGGGTACATAAATGCTACAAATTAAATTTATATCAGAAGTATAAATTATTATGTAAAAATATAATTTTATCCAAGTTATCTTGGAGATAATGAAGATATTTTTGAGTTTAATATCAAACCAACAATAGAGAAAATACATTCACTCGGGGTGAGGTAGCTAGAATGGTAAGTGTTTTTCTAGCAAGAATTGCTAAAGATTAATTCTAGCTTTTTGTTTCCAAAAATTTTAAGAAATGCAAATGATATTGATATTAGCATAAGTTTTAATTTACTATAAATATTTTTGTACAAGTTTTTTGTTCTATTTAAAGATATAAAAAAGCGCCATTTGGCGGCGCGCTACTTAAAATTGGCCGCTCCGTGAAATGTCTAAAAAGGGCATGACCTCGGCGCGGCGAACAAGTCTAGGCAAATCTAGTTATATTTTCGAAATATTAAAAATGCAAAATTATTGCTATAGGGTCTTATAATTAGAATTATTATATTATCAAGATGCTATAGTTAATTAAACTGTGAAAATATTGATCTGCTCAATTAATATGGTAATTGCCACCTTAGTTAGGTTATACTTATAATCTTGCATTTGAATTAAAAGATGAGAGTGATCTCAATTTAACTCCCAATTTAATTTTAAAATCGGTTGATTAAATCTTTGAACCGAGGCATTGTTACCCCTGGTGAGTCGGATCTTGCCAGTGAGCTATTAATCACTTTAAATGAGCACAACAAAATATTGATTATAATAAAGGCTGAGGGCTGAAATGATGTTATATTTTTGGATATTTATATGGGTACTTTTAGAAATGTTAGTATTGCTTGTATACAAGAAATAAAATGGAAAGATGGTGATGGCTATAAATTGTGTTGGAATAATTATTTTGAGTTTAAAAAAAGATGAGAAATATTATAAATTTTATATATTGTATTTTCATATTAGTTGTGCTCAATCAAAGGAAGCGTTGCCGAAGAAATTATACCAACAAACAATAAACAATGTATCGTTTCGCATAAAGATGTAATTGAGTATGTTTGCCCCTTTATCAATATCAATTGTCTCAAATTATGGGATTATGTTATTAATTCAGCTAAAATCGAAGAAAAGCTCATAAGGTTCGATGAACAATTGGTAAAAAAAATATTTTATTTATTATTTTTCGAGTTGTTTTGTGCTAATATAAATATTTAAAAATATAGATTAAAAGAAATTATAAAATTGGAGTACTCTATTGCAAATCTGGTCAAACAACTGAAGAGGAAATGTATAATAATGGTAAAATACTATTAATTTCTTTAATAATTTATAAAATTAAATATCAAATTTATTTTAATTCATTTAAAAAAATTTTTAAAACTTATATTGAAAAATCAAATTTTATATGAGCATAATATATATGTCGTATTGGGATATGGAATCATGTGGGATTCGGAATCTCAACGTGGGGAATATTCTGGAGCTTCCGGAATGTCACAAACTATGGGATAACATCGTTATGCAATTGCAAAATGGATTGCATGAATAAAAGGTGTTAGTGTCTCAAGAACAACCTTAGATTTCAACAAAATGTCATATAGCATTGAAAAATTGTTGCTCGGATTTTTTAAAAATATATATTCATGTAAAAATATTTCATATTTCATATAAATTTACAAAATCAAAAATGTTTAACCTTATTTTTCATTCATTATATGCCCCCACGTTTTATATCCCCATGAAAAATAAATAAATAATATAATTACTTTTTCTTCCCTTTTTTGCCGTCTGGCTGGCACCATATAATTAAAAGGCCAAAATAAGGGATTTAAAAAGAAAATTAAAAAAAAAGTTAATAGTAAAAAATTAATGCATATAATGAATGAAAAATAAAACATTTTTGTTTTTGTAAATTTATCCGAAATACTAAATATTTTCACATGAATATATATTTTAAAAAAATCAGAATTAAAAAATTTTTATTTATTGCAACAATTTTTCAATGCTATATGACATTTTGTTGAAATTTAAGGTTGTTCTTGAGACACTAACACCTTGTATTCATGCAACATGTTTTCCCATAGTTTGTGACATTCCGGAAGCTCCCAAATATTTTTAGCAGTTTAAATAAATAATTAATATATTTTATGTACATGATTTAATTTGAGGAGTATATGTATAAAAATAGCTAAATTACCTATAATTGATATATCTTTGTTAGGCATTTCAAAATCATTTATTTTATAGTTTTATATAGACTAGAGGCAATGAATGGTGCTGAAATTCAGCACACGTTCATACCCATATTTTGTTCAATTTTTAATACTTTCCCTTCTAAATTTTTAGAAATAAAATAACCCAGAGACCTGCAGAGGTGCCATTTGCACGGCTCGGCCCGGATTTTTTTTATTATATTTGTTTTTAATGGCGATTTAAAATATTTGGGTTTAAAATATACGGCCCAGCCTGGGTATTTATATTAAAAAAATTAAAATACGACATGACCCGTGTATACCCGGGCTGGGCTTAGGGGCGGACCTGCAGGTCTCTGAAATAACTGATATGAATCTATAATTTTAATTTTAATAATAATTATTAATTATATTGGGCGAGATTTTTTATCATAGAATTTCTAAATAATTACATTTTGAAATGAAATTTATTTTAATATGAATTAAGAATCTTATTGGACGGGATTTTTTTTCATGGAATATTTAAATTATTACATTTGAAAATTTATATTAATATACAATTATTTTATTTTTAATCTTAGCTTAAAATTTTTTTTAATGCGTCAAATTTTTTACCCAAAACAGTTACAGAATATAATTTATATAAAACATATTCAAACACCAAAATACAAATCTATTCAAAATATAAGGAAAGTAATGTAGATAATATTTTTAACGATTCCATCACTTTTTTTATTGTTTATCAATGAGGAAAATTATGTGAAGCTATATGCATTGCTACTAGAGGTGTACCCATACCACTTTTTGGAGGCCTATCCGATATTCCCGATATTAAATTGATATCGGCCGATTACCTATCCGATATCTTATCTAATTTTGTTGTAAAGATACCAATGGTTTTAATTTTTAATATACTTTTTATTAGTATAACATCTATAATTTAACTATACCATAACATGTCATTTAAATATATTATAATGATCAGTTAGTTTATATTCAATTCAATTGCAATTCTAAAAGTATATAAAATATTTTAATTGAAAAATCACTTATTTATATAATAAGTAATAACATTAATCTATTTACATAATAAGTAATAAACAAATATATTATAAAATTTGAAATAAATATTTAAAATTAATACATCAAAGATTTCTTTTTAGAAATACAAAAAGTTTCAATTTATCAGAGGTCAGTCTGCGGTGATGGGGACTATATCACTAGCTTCACTAAAAACAGATTCTGAGAGATTATTGCACACTTTTATAAACAGAATGCAAAAAAATAACAATATGGCAGAATGTTTATTAACTAATTATTACTATTAAAAAAATTTAACATAAAAATGGATTTGGATTATATAACTTTTTTTTAAATAATATTTTATTTTTGTTAAAAACGCCATTTTGTATCTGATCGGATCAGAAAATTTTATAATATTTGCCGATAATCGATATTTTAAAATAGGTAAAATATCGGCCCGATCCGATATTAAATATCGTACATCCCTAATTGCTACTAAAATAGAAAAGGTTTCAATCAAAGATTCGCGCTTTCGAATTGTTCATAATATTACTAATAGTCCTTGTTCAAAAAATGTTGGCCATAAAATTACATGGAAAAATAGTTGTGCTGTCAATAATATTGGGAATAGTATTTCTAATATTTTAAAAAGGACCCCTTCTTTTATTTTATATTTAAATGATCGTGGGCGTCAAAACATAATTTATTCTCAAATAACTGGACAAAATAACTTTATCTTAGGTCATCACTTGATATTATCTATCCATAGGACAGATATAACAAATATCTGTCCTAAAAATTTAGAAGGGAAAGTATTAAAAATTGAACAAAATAATGGGTAGGAACGTGCGCTGGAAGAATTTCATTTATAGCTTCTAGTCTATATTAAACTCTAAAATTAAAGAATGTTGAAGTTCCTCACAAAAATATATCAATCATAGGCAATTTAAGCTATTTTTATAGTAACCATATATATTCCTCAAATTAATTCATGTATATAAAATGTATTAATTTTTTATCTAAACTACTAAAAATATTTAGGAACTTTCCGGAATGTCACATAATATGGGAAAACATCGTTATACAATTGCAAAATGGGTTGCATGAATAAAAGGTGCGAGTTTTAAGAACAACATCAAATGTTCAACGAAATGTCATATTGCATTGAATTGTTGCAATAAAATTTTTAAAAATATATGAAAATATTTATGATTATAAATTTACAAAAAAATGTCTTTTAACCTTATTCCTTTTCATTCATTATATTCCTTAATTTTATACTATTTACTTTTTTAAACATTCTCTTATCCTTTTTGATTATATAATTTATTTATTATAACAAAATATCTCTAGTGCCGGTTAGGCGGCAAAAAAAGGAAGAAAAAAAATATTATTTAATTGTTTTAAAAAAATATTCTAAATCCCCATAGGTTTTAAATATTTAGAAAAAATATATTTAAAAAAACAAGATTCCAAATAAAACGTGGGGATTCAAGATTTCGAATCCCAACTTTAGGACTCCGAATCCCACATGATTCCATATCCCAATACCACATATATATATATTATGATAAAAACGCCTTCATTTCAAGTAAAGTTTTACAATAGAGTCGATATATAAAGGCACGTGCTCAGCGCACATCTCAAAATAAACTAATTTAGGACACTTAAAATTAAAAAAAAATTGATTAAATGATAAGAATTTGAGCAACTTGATAAAATATTTTAATCATAAGAAAAAAACAAATTGTCAAATAACTTAATTTTGAATTTTTTTTTATAAAAGCGCTGACACTTTTCTGTTTTTGATACTACAAACATTTTAATCTTTAAAATTGTCTCAATGTTATTTTTAATCATTTTATAATAATAACACAATATAGAAACAACTAGCTCTTACTTTGAACAATTCTTAAAACTCTTAGGGGATAAGGTACTACTCAAGGGGTTTGATAAATACAAGGGTGAATTGGATACCAAAAGTTTTGACCTTTTAAATTACAATATTTTGAAATTTAAAAATTAAAAATATATTCTTATATATTTCGTTAGTCAATTCGCGAAGTACGTCTTTGTCAACCCTCATTTTTATGGAGGTTTCGCCTCCATACTCCCATTTGTGGGCCTTCGGCTCGCTTTTACCCAACCTTATGCCGGGACCCTTTTATTGGCTTGTTCATATTTTACATGTTTTTATTCTTTCTTATATTTTTGGGAAAAAATGCCTAAAACGATTGGTTAAATACAATATTACAGTTATCACATTTCTACTCTATGAAATGATAATCCATATTTTATTTTAAGAATTACACATATAATATCATACTAATTGAACATAAAAACATACTTAACGCAATAGCGCCTATAATTAAATAAATATTACACAGAAAATAATATGAATTGCACATATAAAATTATTACATATTGCACTATAAAACTGATTGTGTGCATATCATAGCATCAAAGATTCTTATAAACACATCATTGATTACACTTGGTTGGAGTTATTTTTATCTTGTAATATTTCAACTCTCATTAGATTCCTCACTATCACAAATTATATCATCAATATTTTCATTAACATGCTTATTAAATCTTTATAAATACTGACAAATGAAGACAAATCAAGTCCTAATTTGTCGCTGAATACATTTTCAAATTGTGTAACTTTCTTTAAGGCTTTTCAGAAATACCTTAGATATTTATTTTATTAAAATTTTTCGAATACTAATATTGCACATATATAAACTCTTTATTCACCGAAAATATTTTGGCTGTTAAACTATTTATAATTTGATCATTTATAGGATGAAATTCTATAAAAATATATATTATTTGGATCTTCGGACGTTCATCTTTGCATTCATCGCTATTTTCCTTGTTAGAATTATTTTAGTTGATAGCATTTCATTTTGTAAATCTTCAAATTTTTAGTATGTAGATATAATAGAGTTGCCTTGTATTTCAAAAAAATCAAAGTGAATTTAACGTTTTAAATTTACCCAGATTTTCAATTAAAGATTTAGCTAGTTATAAGGTTAGTTTTTGCTTTTCTCTTTATCATATAACTATCTAAGGTCTTTTTCACGTGCTTACCACCTTGTTTCACCTATTTATTTGTAACTAAACAGCCACATTTACCCAAATAATTATTTTCGCCAAGATCAGCTGCTCTCATGTACTATATATTTGCAAACTAATGTTTGCTACCTATTATATTAAATTCTTAATTTTACCGAGAACCATTAACTTATAACGGTTGTCTTTGACTTAAAATTATTAGGGAATTTCTTCCCTTGAATTTTTATTTATCTTGAAGTTTCAGCTTTCATTTTCTACGTTTGCTTTTAAAAATAGCCTTTTCTGAATGGTTTCTAAATATTTTACCAATTTTTAATATAATTTGTATTATATTTTCAAGATTGTTAAGTGTTTTATTGTGGTCTAATCCTTAAATTGTTTTACATGAAAACTTTATTATTTCAAATATTTGTTTAATTACATGGATATTATTGCGAATCTCTCGATTCTTTTCATTTATCATTTTAAAGCTAATTGAAGATTTTAAAATAATGTATAAAGACTTTCATTTAAAGAAAAACGCTTTTTTTTGTTAAAATAAAAACCATAAATAGCATCTAAATGATAATTCTCAAAAAATTAGTATGACATTCTAAATGCTAAAATGATTACTTTATATATACATATATATGAAAACGATATGAGAAAGTCATAACTTATATGATAAAAAGAAAGAATATATTTTTCCTGATCGGCCTCTTTTTTTCATTTTTTTACTGATCGGCCTCAAAAATAGACATTTTTTCGCTGCCTCGTGGGCAAAATGCCCACTTGGTTTTATGGCCAGTCCTCTCCTGATAGTCAATGTGTTTAATATTTTACAATTGCCTGATATTTATTGGATAAGTATTTAACACATTTTGAATGTATTTTCAGAAAAAATAGATTATTAAAATTTAAATAAATGATTTAAAGCAATAGCACAATAAAGTTGATACGTTTTTTTAAACATTATACATTAGCTTAACCAAAGGTGGGCGGAAACGGGAAATGATTTAAAAATATCAAATAAAATTTATAGTTAAGAAAACCATCTAAAGGTTTCCCTTACAAAAATCCCGGGATACGTCAGTGACATTATGAAAATCCGATTTTGTCAAAAATGTATTCTAGTATGTATCCTCTAAATTTCAGGAAATTTAATTATGAACATTTGAGTAATTTTATATGTGAACTGTCTAAGATAGTGTAGTTAAACGGTTCGATTTGAGCCGATTTTTAAAAATGCTAACTCAATATTTTAGCCAGAAAATAATTGTCTAAGCCTCGAGATTTCTTTGATATAGGTTCAAACCTTTGTTCCACCTATGAGCAAAAATCTTAGGACTTGTATAATATTTTTCTGGTTAAAATATTGAGTTAGCCGTTTATAAAAATCGGCTCAAAATGAGCCGTTTAACAACACTAGTCTAAGATATTAATCAGTCAATGCACGTACTATGATTATTCGAATTTAATCTATATTAACATAACATTTTGCGTTTTCTTCTCTTTTTTTCGACTAACCCTTAACTCAAACATATTTAATTTTTTAAAATGCAATCATATAGTCATGTCATTTTTTTAAAACACATTATACGCCATATTTTACTTTATCATAGCTGAATCAACGGGTCTTTATTCGCTATATACGTCGATCCCTCCCGACGTGCAAGTTATGTTTCATGTATCAACTTTGCTCCCATTCACTCCCAATAATCGACAACAGTTACCCCGCAAGAGGCATATTGGCAATGACGTCGTTACTATAGTATTCCAAGACCCGCCAGCTGACTACACCTTACCTTCCAATTCTCAATCACATTCCTCTACTTCAAACTCAAGGTTAACTACATCTACCCAAGTTGCACTTTCTTCTACTCCTTTCTCCCCCAAACGCATACGTTCTCACTTTCAACACGTTTTCTTGGTAGTGAAGCCGATACTCTCATTTAGTAATGATCGCCCCATTGGTTACTGTGGTGAAACATTTCCCAGTTACAAGTAGTTATTTTTTGAGAATTGAATATTAACCCACCTCCTATCAGACTTTTAAAATGCGTAACCTTGATTATTAAAAGACAGATTGTAAATTCATTTTATTCATTATAAAAAATTAGGGTTAATGTCAATCTAGAAAATTTAATTATTCTTTATTTATGAGATGGGACTTGGAGGGAAGATCTAACTTGGTAATCATTTGGCACAATTAATTTTTGGTCAGAAATTTTGATATAATTTTATTTCATTTACAGTGTTGACCAGATTTGATGGAAAACATTTCCATATTTTTTAATTTATTTGAAAATAAAATTATTTGACTTGCAAAAAATTGTTAAAATAACATATTTATATATTCTTATCAATTTTTACAATTTAAATAATTTTATTTACAAACGAAATTAAAAAATATGAAAATGTTTTAAATTAAATCTGCACAACATTGTATATAAAGTTCTGATCCATTCTATAAATATGCAGTATTCTTTATTTATTTATAAAATTTTACATCTTAAATTTAAAATATTTTTTTTCAAAATGATCTATTTGGCATGTAAGTTTAAGAAAAATCTGACAAATTATTTTGGCTCATAATTATGTTATAATAACTTGATCTATGTATTCAATTTAGACTTAGAATGCTTTTTATACATTTTTAATTAGTCTTAAAAATATAAATCACGTAGGTATCTCAATCTCATTATTACAACATAAATATAGAATAAATTGTTAAAAATAAAATAGAATGGCAGTATCGAGGTCAAAGGATGTAGAACCATTTGGGCCACTTTTACCTGATGATGGAATATTTGACGATCCTACGGATTTTCGAAACTTTTTACTCGCTAAATGTTAGATTATAAAGAATAATAATTACGCATTATCGTTATTTTAAAGATATTTATAATTATGTATGAGCCAAAATTATTATTTTTATAGAATTGGCTATTTTTATTTTACATTTTTTTTACCGGTGCCGATCTGGTACCAAATCTAATACCCATCGTTCTTGAAAATTTTATCATAGATAGGAGGAATAATTTAATAATTCTTCTGGAGATGAAAATTTTGTGACAATACGCATTTTCCTGCTTTATTAAATTAAAAAAGTTGACCAAATTATCTGAAATTTATAGGAAATTTATTTTACTGGAATACATTTCCTATAAATCAGATCTTCACATTTAAAACAAATTATTTTACTATTTTACAAATTAAATTCCTTTATTTAGCACGTTTTTAGATAAATTTTTACTTTATCACAAATATATCCAGCTTATAAAATACCTATTTTATGAATTTAAATTTCATATAATTTTATTAGATATTATTAGGGATCAAAAAACTTTTTTTTTGTAACCGTTTTTGACGGGAAAAGAAACAAACGTTGTTTTTTCGTTTTTGTGTTAAAATGATAGTTATCTTGCTCTTTAAGAGTAGATTTCCATATAAACAAATATTTTTTAAAGCAAAAATTAATATTTAGGTTATTTTATCTTAGTATTATTTATTTTAATAAAATATTTATCTTTCTATAAAATATAATATATTATCTTATGATCGAAAAATCGAATTTAAAAAAACTGCAAATTTATTAAAAAAATTGTTAGGATAAATAAAAACAAACAATGATAAAATTGCAAATAAAAAATACACAAATATTCAAAGACTTTCCAAACAATAAAAAAACTAAAATAATAATTAAATAACTGAGTAATTAATTTTTTTAAAAAATTCGCAATCAAAATTTAAAAACTGCCCATATATAATAACTTCTCCTTGGAAATATAAGAATAAATATTATATTTTAAACAATATTGACAATATAATCTAAACACAAAAATATATTAGGTATAAACGCGGATAATTCAGCTCAAAAATCGGAGAAATTTGCTACCATGGCAACTCGAGCTAGGCTTGAATGTTTGAAAGATTTGTCATTAAACCATTCATCCAATGTTTGTATCAGCGACGTTGCCCAAAAAGAGCTGTTTACCAACAATGAGGAAATTGGCCCCACTTCAGCTAATTTTAACAACATATTTTGTGAGACCAATCTCGTATTTATTTTATATGATAGTTGGAGTGGTTTTGCGAATGTGTAGTTATATAATATTTTAAAATTTTGAAATATTTTGAGACCATTTATATTACCTCAGGATTGTAGAACGAATTATTTTATTTTACGAAAATGACCAACACAATTATAAAGATAGATCGAATACCAATAATACATTTAATCGATTACTATTTTAATTGGACTAATCTTTGTGCGTATATTTAGGTCTACAAATGAATTATCGATTATATTTATATTTTACGAATACGAATATATTTTCATTTGTATAATTTGGGGATGTACCAATAACACTTTTCGGAGGCCTATTCGATATTACCGATATTAAATTGACGTCGGCAGATAACTGATCCGTCATATTTAATTTTGTGCTCTGTAAACAATAATCGTTTTAATTTAATTTGAGTCGATTTTAAAAAACGGCTAACTCATTATCGAGAAAAATATTACGCAAGTCTGAATATTTGCTCATAGGTGGCACAAAGGTTTGAACATCTATTAGCTAAATCTCGAGGCTTAGTCAATACCATTTTTAAAAATCGGCTCAAACGGAGTGATTTTGCATCACTACATACATCTACTCATCTCATATACCATTTAATAGTATAATATCTATAATTTAACTATACCATAGTATAATTCATTTAATAATATTATAACAGTTATTGTTTATACTCATGAATCTAAAAGTATATAAAATATTTTTATTGATAAATCATTCATTTATATAATAACATTAATCTATTTACAAATAAATAGCAAACAAATATATTATGAAATTTGAAACAAATTCTAAAAATGAAGACGCTTTATTGGATCGGAAAATTTTACAATATTGGCCGATAACCTGTATTTTAAAAAGATGAAATATCGGCCCGATCCGATAAAAAATATCGTACATCCCTAGTATTATTCCAATTCCATGGAGTGCCTTTATTGGCACACCAAATTTTATATCATTAATAAATAATATTTTATTTTTACACCGTCTGTAAAAGTATGTATATTAATTATAACCTATATCAATATTTTGGTAAGAAAAGAGAAAATTTAGAAATATGAGCAAAAATTGAATATTTACCATGTGACGCATAAAAACGTCACGTTTTAAAACTATATAATTCTGCGCCACTCGTTTAAATAGAATTTTATATTTTAAGGGTATATGGAACTTAATGTCCTCAAATTTTTTAGAAATAGATTGATCCTTTTTTTTAGAAAAATAAATGCTAATCTAGTGGATTAAGTTAGGGGATTGTAGAGGGTTATTGAGCAAATTTGATAAATCCTAAGGAATTATCAGATAAAAATTCCTATGCAGATAAAATGGTATGCCGGAGAGCTTATTTTTCACAGAAATCATATTTAATATGCCAATAAGGCATTTTATCAATATAAAATTTTCTTTTGATATCATTTTCGATTTACAAAATTTTCGCCTGATTTTGTTGGACGCTACAAAAAACCTTAATTATAATTCTCATCACCCAACACACCTACCAATAACTTTTCAAACAACCAATAATATCAATATTTTATTTTTCCAACTTAAAACCAAAATTCACATAGTGATATTTTTATAAAAAAAATAAATTAAAAAACAAATATATATTGATGACGTTAAAAATATTATTCACAGTATGCAACTGCGATACGCCCACCCTTCATAAACCCAGTCTCCATATCCTCTAAGAAGTTTAAATTTATCGATTTTCCTTCGTCCTTTTTTAATATATAATTTTTACTCTATGTCCATTAAGACTCTTATATTTCACATTTATATAACCCCGTAATAAATCAATGGTTAAATATTAAATGTGCATTTGTAATCATATATATTAATAAATTGTTTAATTTTTATGAATTTAATAGATTTTGTATACATGACCCGATAAGCGTTTCTTTTTTTATTTTAATTTAAGGTCATTTTCAAATCAATGAACTTTGTTAAAAATACATATGTCATTGAACTCTTTTCCTCTCCTGATCTCTTTAATTAATATATGTGGTTAACAAATCCTTACAATACGAACCTGCCGAAATTAGACAAAAATATTTAAGGAGTAGTAGAAAGAAATTATATGTGGCTAACAAAACCTTACAATACGAACCTGCCGAAATTAGACAGAAATATTTAATGAATCGTAAAAAGAAAAACGAGCTAAGTACAAATTTACTTTTCAAACTACCAATTGATATATCTTATGAATCCACACCTTTTAAAATTTCCAAAAAAAATATCTATATTATCACAATCCTTTTTTTAAACATTTTATTTCAAAAAATATTTATTAATGCTAATTATAATCCAAAATTTAATATTAAGATCCATTTTTCACCGATCCGATCCGATATTGGTTCAAAAATCTGATACCGATCCGATATTTATATTGATTTTTCACCACCCCCCTTTGAACCAAATGTAATTAAGAAATTAATATTTTTTATACAAAAAATCGAATTATGCATAATTTAATTTTTTTATTTCTACAATAATTTAAATAAGTTTACAGATATTGGTAGTATTAAATGAATTTATCATTATTCCTCCCCTTGAAATTAATTTTTGTCTTATGTAAAATATTTCCATAATTCAGATATCATATTTAAAAAAATTTTTTTATTTAAAGTATAAATAATAAAATTGGCGTTATTATTTAAAAAGATTTAAAATAAATAAAACTTTGGGTGTTCCTTTCTATTTTTATAAAAATACTTTTAAAATATAAATCTATTTAAAAAAATAAATAAAATTTAAGGGGTGTTGTGAAAAAAATATTATTTAGAAAATATTATTAATGTAAAATAAATAAAATAACAAAAAAAAATCGGATCGGTTTTTACCAGGGTTGGCAAGTCGGTCAATTGACCAGTCAAATTCAGTCAATTGACCGGTCTATTGACCGGAGGAGTATTTGACCGGTCAAATACTGTCAAATACTCTAAAAAAATTAAAGGAAAAATAAATTAAAAATATGTTTAAAAGGAAAAAAATGTTTGCTTATTTTTTATGTCCACAATATCAAGAGGAGAACTCATTAGTAGTGAAATTAATGAAGTATGTGATATAATTCAAGAATTAGCTATTTTACAAGGAAGTGATGACCAAAATATTTTAAGTGATATAATTAATTTCAGAAGCAAAAACAGCATGTTTAATATAGCAAATTATGTGGAAATTAGTAATTTCCAGATACAATGAATTCCGACCTGTAGTTAATAGATTAAACTTTGTCTACCCTGCCCATCAAGACTAAGTTCTACTTCTTCTTTAGAAAGAAATAGGTCGATTTGGGTTAATATTCTAATAGAAATCGATTGAAGATCTAAGACATCAGGAAAATTGATTAAAAAATATTAAAGAAAATGATAATATTGAATATGAATCAGAACAAAACTCTGCTACAGATAGCTACACGTTAGTTATTGAATGACAATGAATTTAAAAAATTAATATTTTAGATTCATTTTACTATTATATTCAAAATAAAGTTAATATTAACTTAAAAAAACATATATTTGAATTTGACTACATTTGACCGTATTTGACCATATTTGACCTATCAAATACGTTTCGGTCAATCAGGTATCGGCCCGATTCAATATTTTTGGGAAACTGATTCAGAAATTATTACTACCCCAACCATGTTCAATGGTGCAAAAATTATTATTACCCCAACCATATCCAATGGTACACAAATTATTATTACCCCAACCATATCAAGTGGTTCCAAAAAATTTGATCACAATAATATATAACTCACTTATATATCATCAAATTCTAAAATAAACTCTTTTAAACCCATGTTATCACTTATTTTAATTCGCTCAATTAAGACAATTGAAAACCTTTTAAACCCATACTTTACTATCTTGTCGTTTAAGTTGCTCAGTATTTTAAAACAACTAAAAAAAAATTTTTTTTACAAATAAACATACTTATTGAATTTCACTCCTCTTCTTTCAAATGGAACCAAATTTTCCTTATATTTTTTTTTATCAAATTCAACATTAACTTTACTTTATCATTTCTAAATTCATAAAAATTTCTAATATAACATATGTTAATTAATAAATTTTAATTTTAAATTCATCTAATTTAATTCTATTAATATTTTTTCATTTAAATTGATACATTATTTATATCCAAATATTGTATTTAAATTTCTTTGTTTTATTTTTAGTTCATTTTTATGATATTAAATTTACTTGCTTACAACCTTCTTTAAAATAAGGTTAAAATTCATTTAACAATAATAATTGTCTTTTTAATTAATTTAATCATAAATATATATACCAACCTTCTTAATTTCTTTATGTTACCTCAATAACCCCCTTAAATAAATATATGTTGTTGAATATTAAATATATTTTTTTAAAGTATTTTCCATATATTTGTCTTTGAAAAATTTATTCTTAAATTATCTACCAACCTTATCATTACTTTTAAAATATTAAAATACAAAAATCCGTATACTAACAATTCAAAACCTATTTATTAACTGGCCTCAATCAGTACATTGCGCTATTATTTACCCTTAATTATAATTTTAAAGAAAATTAAATTAATATATATGTAAAAATATTTACTTACCTGTTTATTTAGATAAATCCACATCACTCCGAATAATTCTGATCCTGGGTCACGAGCAACACTGTCATGACCCAACATACCTACCAATAACTCACACAACCAATAATATAATTTTATTTTAAAAATAAATTAAAAAACAAATATATATTGATTGACGTTCATTAAAAAAATATTATTCGCAGTATGAAACTGCGACAAAATCAGATTTGTTTGATAACCAAAATATTTTGTGTTATAATTTATGACGTAGGAAATTTTTTGAAAAAGGGTGAGCGTTTGGCCATATTTCAATACAATGGGAACCCATCGCTTGTTTTGACAAAAATTTTCTTTGGCGGTTTTTAGTTATTTTTTGTTAATTACTATAAAATTTTTAAAAAAATTGAGGATGCTTCATACAAATATTAAATATAAAAAACTAACCTTTTTACTATAAGGATTTTAAAATGTGGCGTTTTTTTGCGCCACTCGGCATATACCTTTTCTTATATTATATAGCGGATGGAAATACTACGATATATATAGTATAATATATTATTATATAACTAGTCAACCATTATGGCTTGAAATAAACCCCAGCACATGATATAATTAAAATTTAATTTACTTTTTCATATTTACTTAGACAAACTCTCACTTATGGGTTCCGCTGTTATAAAGAAGCGTGATATCAAATTTATGATTAATAATAACAAATTCCCTCAACAGTTGAAACCTTATCTTGTTTCATCTGGAGCTCTTTACTGGCCTCTAAAGGGGGTTAAGAATTATTGCCTAAAGAAGAATAACAATGTCAAAAAAGTTAGCGAAATTACGGCAGATCGAAACAATGAAAATTATCATTTCGTGAATAAAAGTAATAATAGGGTTAATAGCGAAGGGGATAATAGGGTCCAAAAGCAGGGATCGGTAACCCATTTGATGGCTCTATCCAATGACGTGTGCTGCCTGTTAGAGGTTCACATTGATGCATTTAATCAAAATAATCGTATAACTTGCAATGTTTTTGAGAATTATGAAGATAACACTGACTCCAATAGTTTACTAAATATCGAGCATCCTAGGATAGTATTTGCAATACCAACGTGTAGCATAATTGGTTGGAAAATTCTTCTCGAAGATTGTAGGTTAGGAATGATTTAAAGTAATGATTTTTCTAAGGCCCATCTTAAACTAAGCGAAATGAATAAGAATGTTCTTTGTGAAATCGCAGCATCTATGAATTCAATGTAATTTGTAGACTTAACAAATTTTTATGTTTATTTTGACAGGCGAAATAAGGATAAATTTGCTTAGTTTGAAATGGGCATAAGAAAGTATCTTTTTTTTAAATTCTGATATTTTTTAATAGGTATTTAAACTTTTTGGTGTATTAACTAGAGCCCTGCAAATTTAATTTTTTTGTTGTGAGCAGGATTCTATTAATTTATTTAAGCCTAAACCCGAGCCAGCCCTTTATTTTTAATTGAAAATAATAAATTAACACATTTATGGAGTTGAAACTAGGTAGGGGTGGGACCAATACCAATATAATATTGGTTTACAATACCAATACCAATATAAACCAATATATATTTAAATATTGGTATTGCTTTTACAACCAATACCAATTACCTAAATATATTGGTTTTGATATATTGTTTAAATACAATTTTAACCAATACCAATATTAAAAATAACATAATTATTTGGGTTTATCGTGGAATCGTGATATTTTTTTTACTTTCATTGCAAAAACTGATTACATCTGTTATTTCTTCCAAATACTACTGTATCAATATTTCTGTTATTTATAATTATAGTTTATTTTTATTATGGAAGTAAATTTTTTACATGATATCTATCAATTTTATCTATTTATTTAGGATATTATAATAAATGAAGACCAAATAGAGTTAATAAATATAGATGCTGTTGGTACTAATAATAATAGCGATAAAAAACAAGAAGAATTATCAATATCTAATAAAAGACGAAATTCAGCAAAAATCTGGGAATTTTATACTACTTGTGATAATAAAAAAAAGGCAATTTGTAATAAATGTAAAAAAAAATATCACTTCCCAATTTTGGAACCTCGGGATTATGGACACATCTTAAATCCATCCACCCAACATTATATAAGAAATGTGAGCAAATAAATATTGGCAGTAAAAAAAATTAAGACAATAAAATCATTTTTACTTAATAATATAAATAATTAAGACAATAAAATCATTTTTACTTAATAATATAAATAATAAAGCTAATTTAAAAGTTGAGTATATCACTTTTAAAAATTTAATAGCATATTGTAACCCTTCACTAACATTAGTTTCTAGAAAAACACTAAAAATAGAAATTATGAAACTTTATCATAGTTCTTTATCAATTTAAAATCTGTACTTTCTAACATTACATCTAAATTTTCCTTAACAATGGACATTTGGTCCTACCCAAATAAAATACCCTTTATGGGCATAACAATTCATTATATTGATAATGATTTTAAATTAAATAATCATTTATTAGATTTTATTCCTTTTAAAATTCTGTATTAAAAGTAAAATTTGAAATTGATTTTTTTTGCATTACATTAGACAATGCAAGTAATAATTTAGCATTTCTAAAAATTTTAAAACAAAAAGATAATTTTGATAATGTGTGCTAATGCTTTTGCCATAATATACATTTGGCTGTCATGGCTGCATTGGAACCCTTAAATACAACTTTAAAAAAAATAAGAAATTTTTTAAAAATTTTTAAACTTTCTATATCTAAATTTAATAAACTCGAAAAAATATATCTTGAAAAAATCCACACTTAAAATTTTCTCACCCAATTTTGGATATACCAACACGTTGGAATTCAACATACCAAATGCTTGAAAGAGCAATATTGCTCAAACCCTATTTGACAACATATACCAATCATTTACAAAATACCAATCAAGAAAACTATATTAGTGCCTTAGCCTGGAATAATATAGAAATATACCGAGAATTTCTGGAACCATTTAATTTTGCTACAGAGATGGCCTCATGTGCTAATACTCCAACAATTTCAACAATTATTCCTTTATATTTCAGTATTTTTGAGCATGTGGAGAGTTATAATAATAATCCTAATGCTATTTTAAAGACAGCTTCTTTAGCTGCCTTAACAAAACTTAATAAATACTATAATTATAATAAACACCTCTTTATTATTTCAACAATGATTGACCCAAGATTTAAACTATCAAGTCATTTATTAAAGCATAATAATATGGAAACTCTTATTGGATATCTTACTAATGAATACAATATTTATAAAATAAATAATAACAATTCAGCGGAACTTACAAATGAAGCACAAAATAACAAAAAATTATCCTTTTATGACAAAATTTATCAGGTGAAACCTCATAATAATGTCAACTTAGAAATAGTAAATACGTAGATGAAGCCACAATTTCCAATGATACAAATCCATTAGATTGGTGGAAATTAAATAAAAATAGATATCCAGTATTATCAAAAACTGCCAGAGATTATCTAACAATTCCGGCCACCTCATCTAGCTCTGAAAGGGCATTTTCAGAAGGACGGTATGTTATAACAGACCAACGTTGTTCACTAGATGAGCATACTATACAAGCTTGCCTGTGCCTAAAAAGTTGGATTCGCATGCAAGATTCTTCTTAAATACATAAAATTATTTCCTCTTCTTATATTAAAATTATATCATTCTTTTGCATTATATTTTGTATAAATAGACAGTTATGTTACATTTTTAGTTTACTTATTTTACTATGTTCTTTGTGATAAATAAAATGGTTCAAAATCAATACGTTTATTATTGTTGATACAAAAAATACATGATTAAATCAAAATTTTTTATATTCACATCACCTAATAAATTCCTAGTTTAAAAAAAGAATTTGAATTCAGTAAAATTTTGAGAGTTGGTTCTTAGCCCTGTTTTTATGGTATCATGATTTTTTTTCCCATCTTTATTTAAAATTAGAAATTAAAGGTTTTATAATCACTATTTCTATTCTTTTAATTGGTAATTTGAATTTAAACCAATACCAATATAAACCAATAGCAATACCAATACAAGAAATAGAAAATATTGTTTAAACCAATACCAATATTTTAGACCCAATACCAATACAATATTTTGTTAATATTGGGTTTTTACTATTGGTTCCCAGCCCTAAAACTAGGGCGATGTACTAATAAAATTAAAAATTTTAAAATTGCTTTCTCCTAAATCCCTGAGAATATTCCGATTATGGATTTAATATTATTTATTTTAAAATTCACTTTAGTCAATATAAAAGACAATATTTATTTTATAACGTTCTACTCCCTAAAAAAAATTAATTTTAATACTCCAATTATTATTTTATTATAATTAAATAAGAGGCAAAATGATCAATTGTATTTTTTACCAGGCCCAACTTTTTAGATATTTCTTAAGGCCGTTACGATTTGCAGTCTCTAATTTTTAATTTATAGGTTCCAAAATTATATAGGGCTCTATTGTTAATATTTGTTATTTTCTATGAATTTTTTAACTATTTTCAATTTACACAATATTATTTTTTCAAAAAGATAAAAAATATTATGTGTTTTCTTTATATTTATTATTTTTAAGCCTCACAATATACTTTAACGAAGGCAACTCTGTTGTTGTTTATTATGACGAAAAAGTTATAAATATTGGTCATATATCTCAAAGATTAAAACAGATATCCCTTGGAAAACAAGTGAGTTTTACTATGAATGTTTATTATTTTCAATATGCTAAATGATGAAATCTTTATATAGGAAGTTCAGATTTATTTGATAAAAAAATGTGTTTCATAATATAATTTTTTAAAACCTTTCTTTTGATTGAAATAAAAAGTGTCAATTATAAAGTTGATAATACCTTTCAATGTCGGTCGTAGGAAACGACCGACAATTTTGTCTAAAAGCTATCCTGGGAATTTTAATTCCAAATATATCAGCCATATCCTGAATCTTTTTAAATATTTTGCTATTTGTTCATTATTCCTTAGTTAATAAATATCTTGTAAAATTTCAAGTACATATTAATTTCGGTTCACCCCTCCCCCTTCCCCCATTTAAATAACACACATCTTGTTTTTATTGCACACCCAACAAAGATATGCATAATTAAATAAATAAAATATATAAATCTTGTGGAAACTAAAAAATATGGCCCTTTCTTATGATAGAAATGAGCATCCTTTTACCTTTTATATTTTATCATCAAAAGCGTCAAAGATTGAGTAATAAAAGTCAAGAAATTTATCATTTAAGCTAAATTTATTAATATTGCTTAAGTATTTGTTTTTATTCGAATGAAAAGATTATAGATGTTATTAATATAAAAATTTGTTTTAATATTATATTAATAAATCCATAAAATCTTATTTATGTGACAGAGTAAAGAGAAATTTTTTGTAAAATATTTTATAATAAATCTATTTTAGGAGAATGAGAAATACTTAATTTTATCTAGGGCTGCACTTGGGAAAGATTTAAAAATTCTATTAGCAATGATGAAGCCATTAGCCTAGTCATTGTTAAGGGGTATTAGGGCGCCCCCCCCCTCATAAAATTTATTGGAGATTTGTAGGTCTAATTAGGCTGTATTAGATTATAAAAATAATTTTGGGTTTTCACTTTTTTTATGTAAAAAGGCTTATTTTCTAAAAATTTTGAATTATAGTCGTTATTTTAAAAAATAATTATAACTTTTACTAATTTTTCAGATTCTTGTTTTGTAGGGAGAATTAGTTTAAAATGATATTTACGAGAACGGACAAATTTTCGGAAAAAGATTTCCCCTGTTCGCTTGATATCTTTCAACTCCCTGACCCACTAGCTGTAATTTAAATAATGATTTTTTCATTACCGACAAATAGATCTTCATTAAAACGAGTTTTTCATTTGTAACTGAAAACTATAAATAAAGTTACCCCTGATCCGAATGTTAGCCTGTTAGAATTTGAGTGGATGAACTCTGATTCAGTTATATTAATTAACCATTTTTTTCTTCAAGACTTCTCCTTGTGACATTTTGATTTTACATTCGGGAATCTTTAATATTTAAATAAATTTTTTTAGTTAGATGGCTGCCAAACTAAAAAAATACGCAACATATTTTAATTATATAAAATCATGATATAACACTATTAACCAATTAAATTATAGGCTTCCAGAAAACCCTATTCAATTTAAAAATCCTAGATACTTGAATATTTGATCATCATTTAATCTTAAATTTTTTTACCTTTAGTTTTAGTTTTTTCTAGTTATTTGATATAAAAACCTTTAATGTATTTAAAATTGACTTTTTAAATAAAAAAAATCGATTTTTTAAAATTTAAATTAACCAAACATTACAGTTGGGTATTATCTTACAACCAGTGATTTATGTTTAAAATTCTATAAAATTTAATAATAAATCTAATCATTATTTTCGATTATCGATGTTTAATTATGAATTTATAAAATTTCCACGTTCAAAGTTTATAAAAATTTTAATCATGATTTATGAATGTTTATGGAATAATCAAAGTTATATAATTTTTATTATGTTATATAAAATTTTGAATAAAAGAAATTTGTTATATTTTAGGTCTCTTTTTTTGAGATACAAAAGGATAACAAGGAATCTCAATTAGGTTTTTATATCGAGAAAGGCGGCTACATTACGGATATAGAAATGGGCGGTCTAGCATGGAATATGGGGCTGCGTAAAGGGTTCAGAATTGTTGAAGTTATATCATTATATTAATTTGTTTAAAATGAATTAAATTAATATTACATATTTTCATTTAATGTTCTGTAACGGATTATAAATTAATGATGACTATTTGTTAAATTTTAAAGATTTGTGACAAGTTCGTAGTTACAATGAAATTAAACAGAATACTAAACTTGCTTAAAAAGATGAAGATAATAAAAATAGTAGCTATACCTCCTTTAGCAGATGGTACCGCGATAAAGTGAGTTTTATGTGAATAATCGCTATATTTTATTATTTAATAACGAATCACCACATAACTTATATAATCGAATATTTAAATCGTACCCCCTTAGAATATCCTTATTTTTTATATTTTGCTTGGTATAATTTTTACTCCACTTTGATGAAAATAAATTCTTATCCTTAATAATACTTAAATTTGAAAGGCTATGTTTTGTGTTGATAATTTTTTTTTATAAAAAAATTACACCACATAATGCGTTCCAAATAATTTTATCTAATCGTAATCCAGATATGATTGAGTCATAGCAAATGATTTAATTTTTGTTACACCTACATTTATTACGTGATATTAATTTAAACAGTGAAAAGTTCATCAAATTTTTTTACAGGGTGCAAAAATAGCACATTTGAAATTTTTAACACCCAAAATTTTGGATAAAAAAATGAAGAATTTTAAAAATCACTAAAATTTTGAGCAAAATTTTATCACCTCTCAAAAATCGTTCTTGCATAATTTGTTTTAAGGAATCATTAATGGCTAACTGTAGGTATGCCCTGCATAATATAATAAGAATGACTCCGAAAAAATGTTTTCAATAATTAAAATGAAAAAATAAAAATATCGAACCCTACATTCAATGAACTGTTCAGGCTAACTAAATCTCCAAGGTCGGGGTTCTCGGCCTTTAATTAAAATTTAATCATTTCTCTATTGTATATATGGAAACGTTTTGCCTAAATGGAAATAATACCTTAGGAATGCTGACTTTTGTCCCTCCCCTTCCAACAATGTCACTTAAATTTGAGTACTTTACTCATTTTCCCCACCCCATCCTCTCAGGGTCTATATCGCAATCTTTTTAAAGGTAGATATAATATAAGAATAATCGAAATTGTTTCCTTTTTTCTTTTTGGATATCGTTGAACTTACAAAATATATTTTTTTGGAATAAATATTTAATATTTATCTAAAATATATAATTTTAATTAACAAATAGGTCATGCCAAAATTTAACGTGTAATTTATCCCCTTTGCATTCCAGATGTATAAGGTTAAATTTTGAAGATGCAGGTTATATGATGGACAATCTAAGTCAAAACTCAATAACAATTCAGTAAATGAAATATATAAAAAATTTATTATAAATGTTTATAATGATAGAAATCAAAACATTCCAGATGCATATGAAAATCTAGCAATTGATCCAGTTACCCTCAAATTTGATAAATGTAATAATTAATTTTCATATAAATATATCGTGCATAGTACATCATAGAATGCAGAATGTCAAACCATTACAGTTTCATTTCTGTTCTTAGTTTTAAATTTTATAATCATTTTAGTCCTTTCCGGTTATTTGAAACAAATTTATATCGCAGTTCGTTCCGGTTTGGAAATTCATATCGGTTAGTTTCGGTTTTTATAATTTTTCTTTTTCGATTAATCATGTTATATTTTTTAATTGACCCATTAAAAAAAAATAGAAAAATTAGAAGTAGAGAAAATTAGTGGAATGAATTTCTTAATTTTATTATAAAATATGACTAATAAATAACAAATTAAGTTACAGAAACATCACACTTTTTCCAGCCTATGAAAAAATATTTTTAAATATTATTTTTATAGTTTAACTAAGAATATAAAAATTCGCTCGAAAAAACAATATAAATAGAAAATCTTAACTGTTGCATATCTGCAATGTTGACCATCATTAAGGCTAAAAATAATATAATTTATATATATGTAGTGCTGTAAAGTAACATTATTACTAACGGCATTACCTTTTTGAAAAAAGTATTAACAAATAATTTTAAATTTTTAAAATAAGTTTTAATATTTAAAATAAGTTTTAATATTTACCAATAATTAATATATATATAATAAATTTTGAATAATATGAAAAAAAATAAATTATACGAATAATTCGATCGAATAATGGATAAAAAATTATTGAACAAATAATATATTTTCCTTATTCGCAATAATTTTGTTATTCATATTCGTAAAATACGAATTGAATCTGATCTAATAACGAATAGTTCGTTTATGTATTATAGGTATATAAAGTAATTTCACAATCAATATCTATAGCGGCTGAGGCAAAGATATTACTAAAAACATCGATTTTATTTGTATTATATTATAACCATGTTTGTTTGGGAGTGACGATCCAAATAATAAAAATGCAAAAAACCTTTCTTTTAAACTCTTAAAACGCGTATTTTAAAAATATTTATTAAAAAAATGTTTAATTATTATGACAATTGTTGTCTTATATATATAGCAATTTTATTAATATGGTAATTCTTAAACCGATTTTCAAGTCAAATAATTTTTTGATCAATTGTTTGATTAACTAATACCATTTTCATGTAATATTTAGTAAAATATTTAATTTTTTTTTATAATTTATAATTAAATTAACTTGATTTATTTTCATATTTTTGATCAATATTATTTTAAATGAAAGGTGATATTAAAATATTTATCAATTGTTTTTAGTTTGTCTCAAAACTGATATGACGGAATAATTGAAATTTTTAAGATCAAAATAAAATAAAAAAATATGGTAATTGAAAGTAGAATTTAAGATTTTTGAGTAATGTTCATGCGAGAGGATAATTTTCATTAGATCTGCAAATTACATTAAATCTTCAAGTTAAAATTAATAGGTTTACAAACCGCTTAACTGTTTTATTTATTGTTTGCTTCATTTCAGCTATATATAACAAAAATAATAATCTAATTCTAATATTGATATCACAAGCAAAATTATTATAATAAGTGATTAACCATGATATTTCTTTAGCCATATAAATTCAAATCCAGTAGATCATAAAAGTCCCATTAATATATCGTTAATTATCAATCTATGGTTAAATATGGCATAGTTAATATTTAACTCATAACACAACTAATGAATAATCGAGTAAATTATCAAATATAAATATTATTAACTGATGTAATTGCTGTCAATTTTCAATTATAGTATTTGAGACATCTTTGGGGTGGGTTATTTTGAAAGGATTATTTTATGAATGATCAATTTATATACTAAATTATAACGATTAAATAGAAAGAATATATGCATATAATTTGTGTATAAAATTTTACATTCCCATAAAAAAATTTCCAGCAGATACTCCATTATCAACAGCCTTTAAACCAATAAAACATTCACCTTTGCAAAAATGCATCTCTAGTATTTGCCCACACCCATCATTTGCTGTACCTAACCTTAATAATTTAGGTCATAGAAATTCTATGGACTCTTGCATCATTAGTTCCGAATACAGCTCTTTAAATTGCAATAATAACAACAATAAAAAGCTTACACCGATAGGAAGTGAAAAAATGGTCAAAATGACCAATAACCAACGATACAATACCTTCCCCGACAAATCATTAATCTCTTTGAGGGATTTTACCAATGGATCTGGATTGTTAAATTTGGAAGGACACCTTCGGAAATTGATTGATTTTGATGAGACCCCCACTTTGGATAAATCAGCTTGTTTATTACAAAAGCCATTGTAATAAAATGTTTTGTGATAATAATTACATTTTTCTTTGTTGTAAGTTTGAGTATAAGTTATAAAGGTTGTGTAACGATGAGAGGGGCTACAGTAATTTAGTTTGTTTTTAGGGTTAAATGGCTGAGTCGAGTTGGAAAGGATTAGAAGAATTCTATGATAGATTAAACAATAAAAATTTTTGCTTAAGTTTAATTGTACCTGAGGTAATTTAAGCCAAAAATTTTGAAAATCATGTACGGCTTAAAAATTAAAATTAATATTGGTTCTTTTTTTGTAATAAAACGATAATTGGTATATTCTTTTATGATTAGGACCAAGCTATTTTTTTATTACACATAAAATATCTGTTTAATATAGATTTTTGAGCCTAACTTAAAAATAAATACCAAGAGATAAAAAAAAATTGAGCAAGGAATGTTGGCTACAACCACGATTACTCAATGCGACTTCTTTTAAATTATTAATTGAAACGAATATATTATATAGCTTATCAAAAAAACCATTACCCGATTCAACTGTAACTTCTCAATATAATCACAAAATTGACGTCACAAACTCAGTTCTAAAGAATGTCAGTTGGGAGGAGCAAGATTGGAATTCTTTGGTTGAAACTACGACTAATGCTATTAAAAGTTAAATTAATTGTGATTTAAAATATTTCAGAAATAGTATTTTTATTTTATGAATTATTACATTCTACTCTATGAATAATTTATGTATAAAATTTTTTGAATACCACCTTGATCAATGGTGGGTTAAATTTTTTATTAGTCAAAAGGGCTCGGAAGTAAAACTTAAATAACTCTTAATTTTTTGTTTATTATTTATGGATCCTTTCTAATAAATAGAATTTACAATAGTTGAATGAGAAAATTTCAATATGCTATCAAACCGACATGGTTATCCGGGCTAATTATTTCGACCAGTGATCATTCTCATAGTCAGAAAATACAATTTTTTTACATTCTACTTGCTGGGCTGTGGTTTCTTTTCAGGCAGCGTCTGAATTATATATCGATTAGTGACTTTTTAAAATGTTTCGTTTTTATCGGTTTAATATATAATCCTGATTAGATATGAAATTCTAAATATAAGAGAGGTGTTAAAAGTAGGATGTTTAAATAAATGATACAGAGAGATATTACCTACAAAAGACATATTAAAACCTGTTCAACTGGATTTATTTTTTAACAATTAATTATGACATTAGTATAATAAATGGAATAATTTTATGAAAAGGAAAATTTGACGGCATAACACGTTTTTCTAATATAATAAATAAATACATCAACCAGATTGGGGTTAAGGTATAAAAAAAATGATAAGGCAAGTGGGATAGGTCAAATGACTTTGGTTGGCCTATATAGGCATCCTCATACGACAAAATTAAAAAGTTAGTTATGCAAGCAATGATTTCACATTTTTATATGGTTCCGAGACTTATATAAGGAAAAATACAAGAGTGCAAGTTTTGAAAGGCAGAGATGAAGATGTTGAGTCGAATAATCAGATGCTAGTAAGGAGCAGCATACAAGAGAAAAGCGAATTAAAAGAATTAGCAGCTTCCATCAGCACAAAGCTAGTTTTAAATATAAACTAAGATTCTTTGAACTTAGAATATAAGGAAGAAAGATTATTTATCACAGTGGCGTATCCAGGATTTTCTTATGGGGGGGGGGAGATTTTTTGGGGACTTCGCTCCCAAACCCCCTTTACCTGGCTATCGTCCTTTATGTTTTAGCTATTCTATTAAATTATTCATAATTTAATAATAATTATATTTTTAACTATTTGTTACTAATTCGTGCTTATGGATATTACAAGCCTATTTTTTATTATTTTAAGTTAGGTATATTATATTTAATAAAGTTTTTTTAAATGTAAAGTTGAAATAAAGTTTAATGTCATTTTTTTTATAAAATTTGTTTTAAAAACTACCCTCAGCCTAAATTCTCATACAATATAAGTAGAATATAATTTTTTATTGAAAATACTAATAGTAATGTGTATAAAATATTGACTAGAAAATAATTTAAAAAACAAGTTTTTTTAAATTTCTTATCAAATATAATATTATACAAAAATTTTATTAAATACTATAATTATAATGTGATTTTTAATTTTCATGGGAATGTTGCCAATTCATCAAGAATTTCGTTTGTCGTTGGAACCAAATCTCTGTGGATATTTAACAGAGCCAACCCATTTAGCCGAGATTCGGAAGTAGTACTTCGTAAATATGTTTTCATCTCAAGTTGGAAAAAGTCTTCATTCGTACATGTTGTAATAGGCAAACATGCAAGAATATAAAACAATTTCAAAATATTATGAAATTGAGCCAAGGTTTCTTTACACCGATTGAGAGCATCAATAGCATGCTCAGGTAAAATAGCTAAACGTAGTAAATATTTAAATTAAACTACAATTCGAATTCGCTGATTAAATTTATTTCAGTATCTATATCATAGGAATAAAATTTTGCTAAATATCTTATTTTACCAATAGTGACATTAGAAAACGAAGAAGGATCTTTGGGTAATAAAACTTGAAGATTGCTAAAGACTTGTTTTTTATCTAAATACCGTACTTTTATTTGCGATGAAAAGGTATCTAAGAATGGGATGAAAATGGATATTTTATAATATTCTTCAGTTGAGCCAATATTTATTTTACATCTCAATAATTGCCTAGGTGCTAGACGAGGTTTAATTAGTGTTATATCATAAAATTTAGCCTTCGATTCAACGTCGAGATAAATATTATGAAAATATTCATCTACATTCATTCTTATTGTATCTTACCTGTTCATATATATTTTCCGCCATATCAATAACCTTAACCAAATCTAAATTTGATTTTTGTAAATTTCTACAAAGTAGTGAGCTATAAGAAAATAATTTATTGATGCAACTAGCAGCAATGATAAACTTATTGATCAATTTAATTTAATAATGATATCGCTTTTGACGACACATTACTTATTTTCATGCTCAGCCTTATTTAACTTTTGTATTTCTATTCTGTTCTACAAAATGGAAGTAAAAATGAAAAATATTTAAAAAAATAATAGATATTTATTAATAATTAAAAATACTTATTAATTCTAACTCACTAATAATTTTGAATTTAATTAAATAATTATATATAATATTAAAATAAATTACCGTTTGATTTCAATCTCTTTGACTAAAATTTTTCCATTTTATTAATATTTTTGAATAATGTTAATGTAAGGAAAGGAAATTTTAATAAAATTTATTTATAAAAATTAAGTTGTATGTAGGAAAATGGATATTCAAATATTTGTAAAATTTTGATGGGGAGGGGGGAGGTAAAATTTTTATTAGCTAAAAATGGTATTTATGAAACCAGTCAAATTTGCAATGGGAAATCCCCTCCCCCCCATTGGTTACGCGCCTGATTTATCATGATTGGTTTTATAAGCCAAATGAATTTTATCAAGGAAAATTTTATTAGATTTAACATGTAATACCATTTCTCGAAACATTGGAATATAATAAATTTTCTTACAATGAAATATTATACATTTTAATAAAAATAGTGTGCGAAGATAATCCCAAGTCAAGTAAAGGCACAAACTTTGATCGCGCAAATGAAATATACGACGATATAAATTTTAGTAATTTATTGTGTGATGAAAAAATGTAACTTAATTTTATTAATATTTTATTTTGATTTATAAATTGCTACTTTTTTATTTTATTTAATCTAGTAATATAATACAAAATTTGAAAAACAAATGCCAAAAATTAGAAATCAAATCCGAAAAAGTATTTTTATATTGCTTAACTTCTATAAACATTTAATTATTTATTATAAATATAATATTCTCCTTAATTTGAGCAAAATTAAATTGAAATAAAAGGGAAGGAAAATATTGTATATATTCGACCTCAAACTCTAAAATCCATAAAAAAATTTCCTTTGTGATGTAAAAAATAAAAAATTATGAATGTTATTGTCATGTTTATTAAATCGGTTTATTTTTAGCTCTTATATTTTTTAATATTAGGAATCTCAATTTATTAAAGCACTTATCAATGAAAACGAAAAATTAAAACGAAAATTGCTTGATCGATTGGAAGAAAAATGAACATTTTTGTCGCCCACAATGCATCAAAGAGTTGCAGAAATTGGCAACCAAAAATAATATTATATTTAAATCAAAATCTTCCTTTTAAAAATCTTATTCCAGCATTTATAAATAGCTGACATAAATAATTAAGTTTAATTAATTATAAAATATTATTAAATACGCTATTGTTATATTTTAGTTCTCAGGATTATTAAATTTATGTTCTCAATAACAATAAGATTAAGATTTTTATATGATAAATTTCATTACAAGTTGTATAATATGAGTTCTGACATGAATATTTAAATTTTTTTTCAAAAGTATCTTTATTGGTTATGTATGAGTATGATTTTACTGTTTAAAACATTTTTTTAAATAAAATATTAGGCTTCGATTTTTAATTACAACATAAACATTTATAAACATCATGCTAATTTTTAAGGTCGTTTTTTTACAACACTACAATGAATATGTTGTTAATATATATTTTTTAAATTTTTATTTATTTAACTAATTTTTTGTAAACTTATATTAAAATATATTTTAATAATTATATTTTTTTATATACCACACCACATGTATAAATAAATTTAATAATTATGATTGACACTTTTGAAATTTCTAACGTTTTATTCGGATTAACCTCTTTTAATAGAGTTCTGAGTAAAAAATATTAATATACTATAAACCTATTCAAAAACTAAATAATAACGAATACAAAAGAAATTATTTGTTTTGTTTGAATACGAATAAAGAATTATTTGAATAATTTGTTTTATTTGAATAATTGAATATTCGAATTATCCGGAATAATTATTATTTTTTTTAAATAGAATATAAATATTATTGTAGACCTAATTTACCGGTAGACTTAAGCAACTTTTCCAAATATTTAACCCTTTCAAATATTATATATAATAGACAATATTAGAGATTTTGACAATCTTATTTATGGCCATCGCTTGATAAATGCATAACTTGTAATGAAGACTTAACGATATTAAAATTATCGGATAAATAAATATATATGGTCGAGGAAAATGAAAAGTAATTATCAATTATATAGATCAGCCCGCTCCTTATTCAGGTCAGAACGGGCTCTAAGATGTAATTATATGTCGAACTTTAATTTTTTTTTACAAAATCCAGGCCTAAGGTCAGATTTTTTAAGTCATATCAATTAACAAGATTAGTAAATTATATATTTAATTATTAATCTCATTATCTCTCTCTGAACAATAAGTTTTAATTTTATATAATAGTGTTTCATTTCAATTTAATCATAATTTAAATTTTATTATATGATATATAATTGCTTTTCTCATCGCCAATTCTGTGATTAGGGGGTATCAGTCATTGAGAATATGAAGCTGAGGTAATTGGATTTTATTATATTGAAGGCTAATCTTTGGCGTAGGTAGTAACCCTCGTTGGGATCTTCGGTCCTAGTAGAGATCCGTTTCCCCAGTTCTTTAAAGAAGGCAAGGGCGTGAGAGCCGAACGATGTTAGAGTCGTGGCGATTAGTGGTAGGAATGTGTAATTGGCCGGAAGCGATGGCGAATATTTAGCGAGTTTATTTATCTCGGCGTCTACTAGAGCATCTCTATTTATATTGGAAGGGGCAAGGGGATCGATGCATGAGAAATCCCAGGTTAGAAATTCCCCCCTCTTCCAAGGGATCATGGTAGAGCCATCGGGACGCTTACCATCAGAATTGTAGAGTCCAGTAGGTTCGAGGGTTGATGGGATACCGGCAGATTTTAGGGCCCTGGCAATAGTATCATTGCATTTTGAATGTTTAATGAATCTGCCTCTACATCGCTTGCAGTGTAAAGAGTGACGGCCTTTGGAGTTGACCGGCGTTTGACAAAGGATGCAGGGATAGGGTATTACCATATCGCAATTAAATCTTAGACCGATGGAGTGACGTAGCTCATCATTGCTTTATTTAACATTAATTTGCCTCAAATTTTCAATTTCCTTTTAAAACAATTTATAAAATATAGTATGTTAAAATCACCAAATTCGAATAATTAAATATGAATCGGGCCAAAATAATTTTTAAAAAATCCGAGTTTGAAAACAAAAGGAAATTTTTACTTATGAAAGTTGTGAGAATGAACTTAAAACATCGCTCATAAAATAAATAATAAAAGTTTTTGAAGTTTTGGAAGCAGGAAAATTCATTTCCTTTTTTGAGAAAATTTGCTAGTAAATTTTATCATCCCCAGTATGTTCGACTTCCGGTGAAAGATTATTTTTTCTATAGCCATTCGCTTATTAGAAGAAAAACGAACAAAATTAAAAAAGGACATTTTTCTTTTTTTAAATAAAAATTTTGATTTATAATTGGTAATTATTTTGTTTATATGTAATTAAAGAAATAAAAAACTATGATAGAATAAATTCAAAAAAGCGTAAGAGTACCAATAAAGTTTTGAGAAAATTAGAAAAAAAATTAAAACGTGATTTTTTTTAGCAGCAAGCTTGAAATGGGGTAAGTTTTTTTTCCAACCATGAGCGGGCGGGCCCTGAATAAAAAATTAGGCCCGCGCCCACCTCTATTTCCTACCCCCTTCAGTTTTAAGGATGCTCATAGAAGTGTCTGTTATATCAGCCCTTTTATTTGATTATAAAAATTGGATTAATATTAAGAAAAAGTATAATTAACAAGTTTTGAAAAATAAAATTTGAAGATTAAATGAATTAGAAGTTATTATGTGTAGTGTAGGCAAAAATATTTACCTAATAATTTTTAGGGATATTTTGAATTGGGGAATAATTTCCATGAAAGATACTTAAGTAAAATTCCTTTTAATATATTGGGAAATATTGCCATAAATGGCCATGTTTGAAAACTGGCCACTACCCTTTAACTTTTTATCTATTGGACCGATTTCTCTCAAAATTGGTCAAATTGATTATATTTATGATACGTACCTTAACTAAGTTCACTTATTGAATAGATCCAATAAAAAAATATTTTAAATAAACTGTTTTTAGTACCTCTTTCAGCAATAATCACGTTACACATTTTTTTGTTTGGTGAAAAAATTACTAATTTAATTGTGATATTTTATATAAATATTATCCTTATGCATTTAACATCATTCACACAAAAAATTTGACTATAAAAGTTTCATTTAATAGACATATAAAAGCGCTTAATAATAATAGAGAGGTGAGTATTGTCTGGCCATGTATTGATTGGCCACGCACATTCACATAATTATATTGAAATGAAAATCTAGTGCAAAACAACATTTGGTGAAATTTTAAATAATGAACAAACTTAAGAATGTTTAGCAAAAAGATAATTAAGATATTAATTTATAATATTATCATTAATTATATAATGATAAATTGAGATAATTTAATACTAATTAAATTAGTGTATAAATAATTTTTTATATAACTAAAAAATATAGAAATATTAACAAGGTCCGTGAAGTTGGCGGAATGACTTGAGGATCAATTCAAAACCTATACCAATATTTAGAGCAGCGTCTACATGACAGGATTTTCACTGGATGCAAACCCCCTTCAAAAACCTTTGCCTACCCCCCTAAAAAAATTATCGTCTTCGGCGGAGGTGTCTCTTTATTATTATTTTCACCTGTTTATTTATTGATACTCTTTTCAAAGAATTTATAAAGGATAACTTAAATTAATCTATATCTACTACCAACTATCTATATTTTGTGAATATAAGGAATTTATTTTTTAGATAATAAATTCAATTAAAACCTCCATTATTTACAATAAATTAGTTATTCTGGCATTATGAGCTTGCTAAAATATCTAAACCTTTTAAATTACATTAAAAAGGATAGTTTATTTGGAAAACAATGTGTATGATTGTTATCAATATATAGATTTGGTCGATGAATTGTATTATAATAATACTATAATAAAAGAATAATTTTTACAGCAATAAATTTTGCACTATTTCATCTCAAAATTTAATAGATAACCCTCCAAAAAATTTATCCTACCCCCATTAAAGCAGCTTACCCCCTACCCCCTTAACAAAATAGGATGCAAACTATTCCTACCCCTCCCGCTCATGTAGACGCTGATTTAGAGTCTTAATTGATCTTCAGACATCAGGGGAATCAAAGGTTAATGAGTTATAAGTAAATAAGGAGAGTGTGAAATTTTGAAGCTGGTGGAACGATTTGAGGATCAATTACCAAAACTTATACCATTGTGTAGCACGTTAATTGATCCATTTTGATCTTCTATCCGGATAGCAGTGAATGAATGTGTTCGCACTTTCCCAAAAAAGATCATGTTCTGAAACTTAGCAATTATCTCGTATTCAATATGTACGTTAATAATCTCCAAACCGCATATATGTATCAATAACCGTAACCGAGTTATAACCGATTTAAAAGCGTGAAGTTAGCTGAATTATTTTTAAAAAGTGAGGATCAATTACCGAATATTATGCCAAAGTGTAGTGCGCTAATTGATCCTCCAGAATCTTTAAACCGGATACCAACGGGATGAACGGTTCGTGAGTTATAGGCTAAATAGAATAGTATTGGCATTATGCCAAAATTTAAAATTTGAGCAATCATTTTTAGTTAAAGCCAATATTTAGTGCCTTAATTGATCCTCCGTATTCTTCAAACGGAATGTCAAAAAAATTAAAGGAAAGTGAGATATCAACTAAAATAAAGAAAGTGTGAATTTTGACCGGCGGAACGATTTGAGGATCGATTACCTAAACTTAACCTTTGTGTAGCCAGTTATTGATCTTCTATCCGAAAAAGGCAGAATGAACCGTTCGTGAGTTATGAGTAAAATAAAAAAGTGTTGACCGAAAATATAAAAGATCATATTCTGAAATTTGGCAATTATCTAGTATTCAATAAGTACGTTAATAATCTCAAAACTTGATATTGGTATTATTAACCGTAACCGAGTCATAACCGTTTTAAAAACGTGAAGCTGGCAGAATTATTTAAGCTGGCGGAACGACTTGAGAATCAATTACCGTAAGTTATGAGCAAAATAAGAAAGTGTTGGCACTTTGCTAAAACCTAAAATAAAAATGATTATATTTTGAAGTTTGGCACTTATTTAGTTAATATGTGCATTAATAAATAATCTACAAACCGGATATCGGCATCACTAACCATAACCGAGATATAACCTTTGTTTAAAAACGTGAAGTTAACGGAAATATTTTTAGAAATGGAGGATCAATTAAGGTAATTATGCCAAAGTGTAGTGAGTTAATTGATCCTCCAGAATCTTTGAACCGTATACCTGCGGAATAAACCGTTCATGAGTTATGAGCAAAATAAAAAAAATTATATTTTGAAACTTGGCAATCATTTGGTATTCAATATGTACGATAATAATCTACAAACTGGATAAAGGTATCACTAACCGTTAACCGAGCTATAACCGTTTAAAAATTGGAAGTTAGCAGAATTAGAAAGTGAGGATCAATTACCAAATATTATGCCAACGTGTAGCCCGTTAATTGATCCTCCAGAATCTTTAAACTGTACACCAGCAGAATGAGCCGTTCGTGAGTTATAGGCAAAATAAAAAAGTTTGCACTTTGCCAAAACCGAAAATAATCAAGATTA